ACAGAGTGAAGGCAGTGCATGTCCTCTGGGGATCATCCTGGTTATCAGCTACTAGTTATTATGCTATGAAGCACTAATGAATTCATTAGCTAAATGAAATGTCAATAAAAGCTCGTGAGAGTGTTAAAAATCAAAGCCAACTGTCTTGCTCTCCCCTAGCTCCTCCTCTTTTCCTCATCCTATCTCACCCATCTGTCCCAATTATCCACCTTTCTCCCAAGCAGACACTCACGCACGCACTGTCTCCAGAGTGTTGAGTGTAAACTGTGATGGAGGACATTAGCGGTGTTAGTATTCAGCAGCACTCACCTGCTCCACTCTCAAACTGCTCCATCAGGACCTGAAGGCTGAGCTGGTGTGTGTGTTTGTGTGCATTAACATTAGACTTTACGAATGTGAGCGACTGCGGCATAAGGAGCCTTGACTCTGAAATAGCTTTTCTGGTGACACAAAACACAACTGTACAACTGTTTTTAAGCTTGTATTTTTTTTCATCTTAAACTCAATATTAACAAATTTCTTTCTTTCTGGCATTTGTTGAACTTCACAAATGTCAAGATGCAATTACAAGCTTCAACGTCCCCTGAGAAATCTTTGATACCGAGCCTGTATCGCTTATTATTATGATCATCATTAAAAGTGCACAAACATTCCTGGGTGTCGTGTTTATAGCTGCAAGCACACTGGCACACCAAATGGCAACCAGTTGGCTCATATCACCTCTGTCCCCTCATGATGGCTTAATTTTTGCAGCTGAATACTTGACTCACTCTGGTTGTGTTTTTGTACAGCTAAACAGTTGTTTTCAGATAATTGTTCAGGGCATATGTTTAAATGCCACCTCATTTACATAAACACCGTTCAGCTCCCTGAGGAATCAATGAAAACATGAGGGTGCAAACACAGAGTCACAGCCACATACACACTCATACACTCCAGCGCATTTGCCCTCACTTTGACACTGTGCTGTATAGCCCGTGATTCATCTGTTTTCTGCAACAGCAGTGAAATAAAACAGACTAGGAGTGTATGCACAGACACAAGGCTACAATATTCTACAGCAGAGGTGTTTCTAAAGAGAAATGAGCAGACAAGGAGAGGGACTGGAGGATTTTTGGACAAGTGACAGGAAAAGAAATCGAAAGCGTGTATCTGTCTAATTGAGGGATGCATTAGAGCTGTATCTGTCCTCTTTGCACACACCTTTCCGTTGCTACATCTTTCCTCCTGTCCTCCCTCTGCACTGACACCGGGAACAAAAAACTTTGAAGTGTTAATGAGAGCTTGAAGAATGACTCACTGGTGATGATTAAGCACTAATATGCATACGGGAACCAAAACTCAGACACGTCCAAGAGACCTATCACAATGACTAATTAGTGGTGATAAAGTAGTAATGAAGAAAATCCTAATCTAGACATACCATAGCACTTTGCAGGGATGCCAGCTAAACAGCAAAACAGAAAACCCTTAACAAACATGAGACAATTTGTTGTAAAGAAAAATATTGGGCTGTGTGTCAATACGGGTGTTCCTTACCATGGTGTTTTAATGCAGCAGTACTTTATCAAGTGAAGTCACAAGCCATTACCCTTTGTTACCAATTGTAAAATCCTTTGTACTTGACTGATCTAAGCGAAATTAAAGAGCTAACAGCTGTTGTGTGGGCTGGCATGGCATCGTTCCTCTACACTGAGATGGACAGGAGCAAAGGATGCTGCTCAGCATGTCTAACAGTTTTGACGAGGAGTGTTAAATACATTCGCTCCTGGTTGACACAAGAGGTCACTTCTGAACTACTTGACCACAGGAACAGCCTGTTTATCACTCTGACAGGCCCATAAATTGGCCAATGTCTAAACTAAGATCTATAATTTGAAAGTGCATCTTGTTCTTTATTCTTTCTTTTTTTGACCTTCTATTCCTACTTAGCAAGCATTTTCCAACACGGTAGATTTATTTGTGTTAGATTGGACATGGCCTTGGGGGTAAATGATGTCCTTCCTACCGTGAATGAAAACTGCCCGCAGCTTGGAGAGAAAAAATTGTATTCAACATAACGGGAACCTCTATTTTTACTTGCCTCATTCCACATGGAGGTCAGTTACCATACAGCTGCACCTTTAAGACCCTGGAGCTGGTGTAGTTTCCAGCCTTCAGCAATTTCAGGTTTCTGGTGTTGTGCATGTTGACTCACTGTCACACTCTCATGACTTACTCATTAATGTTATCAGCAACATTTATGATTTTCCTCCAATGACAAGACTGCCAAACTAGAGTAGAGATAACATGGATCAGTACTGTTTGTGCATACAGTATTTCATAGTCCCTGATCCTTGATCCAAGTGGCGGCTATGGATCAGGAGGTAGCGTGGTTGTGTCTTACCCCAGAGGTTGGCAGTTCAGTTCCCAAGTTCACATGTTGAAGTGTCCTTGAGCAAGACACCGAACCCCAAGTTGCTCCTGGTGGCCACACTGGTGTATGTATGTGTGTGAATAACGGCGCCACAGATGGCTGCTTCGGTTGAATGGTCTCTCTAGAGGAGAGCCGCTGTACCGGAGACTCATTCCATAAACATACTTTGCCAATAAATATGATTTAAATAATTAAATTTAGAATCCTAACACAAAAAAAGTGAACATTTTGCCAATGCAATGTCTGTGTTTTGGTACTAATACTAAAATAACACTTTTAAAAATATGTTATTTAAGGAACATAAATGTTTCAAAACTTCATTTTCATGTAACCAAATATGCCACATTGCTTGCTGTGTGGTAAAAAAAAAAATTTTTTTGCCTGAATAAAATACGTTATGCCATGTTGAATGTTGGGGTGGGTACACATTGTATTTACCTACATTCTTGTTCTGTTTGGCTAAAAAAAGAAGCTTAAATCACTGAGAACTCACTTTAGTGACTGTGATAGACTTAGCTGACTGTAGCTTCCTCACTTACTACCTGGAGATCTTGTCTACAAGAGTGACAGACTAAAAAATGACTGCACCCTGATCTCAGCTCTTGGTTTGGGAGCTAACGCTAACTAGCAGCTGTCGGCAGATGACACAAATGCTGTAGATGAATCGATTTCTCTCTTGTTTGTGCTCAAACTGATCACTAAAGGCACTCTTTGGACGTAGTCGAAGCATCCCCTACCGACGATGATGATGATGCCAACGTCACATTCTCTTTACATACAGTACATTTGAGAACCTGGTACCAGCAATGTGTGTTTACTTTAAAAGGTGCTGAACTGATTAATCAATTATTGAAATAGCTTTCTGTTCACAGTTCTGCATTTGCTACCAACATAAACCTTTAATTACTCAGTGCAATGGCCAGATTTTTGTCGGTGCTCCAAAAGTATTATGTTTTAATACTCGACCCTCACTCTAACTATAATTAGCAAAACCTGAAGCATTCTGATGAATCACCTATCTCAGACAAGTGGCAAATATCTTCAAATAAAGTTTTATGACATGCTGTAATGAACAGAAATTAGCAGCTGCCTGATATGTGTATTCATTGTCATCAAAATCACCATTCATCTAAATGAACTGCTGATACGCCTAATGGAGCCAGTGTGCTTCAAAAACATTCACTTAGAGTTTCTGTGAAGAAATAGGCTTGTTTTTGAGACAAGACTAAACCTGTTGCAGAGATAATGATTCTGCAGGGAGAGATGAATGGGCCTTGAGACAGATGACCACAATGATCAAACTTAAAGGGGAGCCTAAATTTGTAGAAATCGTATACTGTATATATAGAATATATATACAGTGATTACCTCATTTATTGTGGCCTGTTTGGAAATATACACTATACAACGTGTATGAACGACTTTGAGAGTGTGTCCAAAAGTTTGCAAGTATGTTTGTGAATGCAACTCTTTGCAGCATCTCTGCCAGTTTGACAGTGTCTGCTCAGCACTGTTCGTTCATTCCCATCACATAGTGCAGGCCGAACATGACAGACGGGTAATGACTTGAGTATGGTTTGGCACTAACACACACACACACACGCACACACACACACACATGCTCACAGAGACACACTCATACACACATACCAGCTGCTCTCATCCTCCTTTCTCATCAAACATGTCATCAGCTCTGCCACTTTGTCTCTTCTCACATTAAGAGCTTATGAATAATGTGTGATTACTTGAGACCCTCCAAGCAGCTCCTGAATCTACAGCACACACACACACACACACACACACACACACACACACACACACACACAAACACTCCCTAATCCAACACAGTCCAAAATATTGTGTACATATTTACATGTACTGGCATTATTACTGCTTTCTCTGCCTTGTTTCACTCTCTCTCTCTCTGCAAGTGCACACGCACATATATATGCACTCACAGATACATGCACAGTTTCGCACACCTAAGAAATATTCCCCAGAAAATTAGAACTATTTTAGGCAACTCATCTCCTTGAAAGTGCTAATGTAATTTGATTTGTCTAATTGGTTACTCATAGATGTGAGAGAAGGAGACAAGGAGGAACAGTGGCTTCATGGTTGGATACCCAGCTTCTCATCTGTCTGAAATATTCATCTAGTCCTCTAACAAAAATATTTTATGGCTCAAGAAGAGAAAAGATCATCTAACATCAAATATCCACCTCTGTCATCCACTTCCCCATTTCTGTAGACGACAGTGCCACTGGATCTGATAGGTCTTCTTCTCTAATTTATCCTCCACACAGTTTTCACGCATACAAACACACTTTTTGTCTACTATACTTGTTAGGAAGTTCGAGTGATAACACATATTTCCTAAGGTCGATCTAAACTAGCCACAAGAAAAGAAAAGAGGAAAAGAACTTCACTTAGCTTAGGGGTCGTTTACAAACTCAATGACTCAAAATAAATAAAAAGAAAAGCACAAACTCCCTCTCAAACACACACACACACACACACACACACACACACACACACACACACACACACAGGGTAATCGATCAAGGCCTGTGTGTCCTCCTACCGGTGAATCACTGGCTGCAGTAGGACACAGCGGTCCTCTGAAGACCCCCTTGACGCGCCGAAAGTGTCCATTGCTCAGGTGCGTGGAGCTGATAACCAGGTAGTAACACGCGCTGCAAGCCATCCCGCAGACCTCACGGGGTTTGGGGCCCATGTAGTGGGTTCTTTACAGTCAGGTCCTGGGTGTCGGCGATGTCCCGGTGGGCGCTATGGTCGGGTTGCGCACGGATGTTGAGCAGGTGAGACCGCTTTGCGATATAGCACGTCTCAGTCCTGTGCTCTGTTAGGAAGTCTCTGCCTGCGTATGCAAAAGGGACTAAATTGAGAACAGCTTTAGACCTGTTTTTGTAATGTGTGTACACGTGAGTGTATGAGAGAGAACTACAAGCAGACAGAGACAAAAGAGAAATACACAGAGACAGAGATGTTATACTGACCAAGCGCTGCCGCTGGAGTCTGCGCTCGGCATGCTGTCGTCGGTCGGGCTTAAATAAACGAACGAGCGCCTGTGGAGCGACAGAGGAAGAGAGGAATCCATCCAGTCTCGCGTCCACACACACCCACAAACACACACACTTTTTCTCTCCTGTTCACCCTCCTCCTCTTTTCTCTCTCTCTTTTTAAATGTTTTAACCAGTCCACTGGTTCTGTCTGAAAAGTGTATGTAGCCTCAGCCAAGCAGCGGCAGCACCCCAATTTGGGGCTCTCAGCAAAGAAAAGAGAAGCAGACGCTCTTGCAGGTGCGCGTCCGCTTCACGCACGTCGAAGAGGAAAGAAAGAGAAACATCTGACCCCCTTTTTCTTCCTCTCTGCTCTTTCTTGACTGGCACCGAGTTTAAAGTCAGCCTTCTTGTGAATGAAATTCCGCGGCGTGAGAAGGGAGAGATGGTAAATCCATCCAGAGCAGGTCCAGCTAAGGCTGAAGTGGTACAGATTCTTTCTCAAGGAAGAAACACTCACCCGATCACTCCCTCTCTCTGCCTCTCCTCCTCCTCACCCCACTCTCTCTCTCTCTCTCACTTTGCATGTGTGTACGTGTGCGTGACTGAGTGTGTGTGCGTGCCTTTCTTCTCGGGGTTGCACCGGGCCGAGTCCTGCCTCCTGTAATATGCAGCCCGTGTCCGTGTGTGGGTCTGGCATATAGGGAGACACTTCTGTCCACGCTGTGCTTGAGTAACTCCGAATTGAAAGGCAACCACCATCTCTTCGCTCTTTTCTCGCTTCTCTTTTTTCATTCTTCTTCTTTTTGTTGTAGTCGAGTAGCAAATTGGATAGACTTTATTTGCAAGGTTTAGCGTGTGTGACTTCAAGATGTCCGCGCATGAACCACCAACAACATATTTGTGTCAGTTTCTCTCTCCTGTGTCCTCTGGTCCAGCCCGTTCCCTCTCTCTCTTTTTCCTTTTGAGGACAAGCGAAATGCTTTTACAAGGTCTAATCAGAGGAAGGGAAACCTCACTGAGTTGAATCCTCGGGGCTGATGATTTGATTAGAGATAAAAGAGTCTTTCTTCGGCTCGGCCTGTCAAACTGCGCCTCGGAACCAGCTGCAGCTGCGCTTCGGCGGCGTATGGCGCTGTTCACCAACGCGGTGCTGAAACCATTAAACTGCGAGCATCCACAGAAATGCATGGCGTTGCATGCATATTCAGCTCGGGGCTAGGGTGTCTCGTTTGCTCGGCGTCAGCACTAAACGATGTGGACAGCTTTGGGTTTCAGAGGTAAAAGTGAAGTAGAAGGGCGCAGAGAGACGGGTCACGGCGCGGGAAGAAACTCCACTTTGCTCGCTTAACAGCCACTCAAAGATATGTAGCCACAAAAAGATACATCCTTCAGGCTAGCATAACTTTTTATTATCAAGTTCAAGCTTTATTTAGAGTAGGACACCTGTCAGTTCTTGTGAAGATGAAGTAAGTCATAACATAAATACCTGATTCTTACAGGCTACCTCCTCCCACATCAACAGTTTTTAGATTTAGTGCAGCTATAAATTCAGCTTTAGGGTCTTTAAATATCTGCCTCCAGTGAGTAAATCACAATAACAGACAACCAAGTTGGTGCTGTTGTTTTGATGCACATAAAAAAGGAACCTCAGCAAAACTTATTTGATCACATCTTTTATTCAGCAAACACCCAAAGGACACCTTGCAAAAATCTTTTAGGAATTCAGAGGCAGTTGAACTTTCAAACACTTCTAATACAAAATGACTGAGCCTTGTATTCAGCAGCATTTGCGGACATATTATTCTCAGCAGCCTCCGACTCTTGGTCCAGCTGTTGCTCTTCTGCAACCTACTCATTCTCTCATTCTTCAGCATTTTCCTACACTTTACCATGTTTCTGCCCAATCCTCAAGGTCAGCTCCTACAACTTCTGAGCCCTCCCAGACCACTGCCCATTGCATCACTACATGAACTAGTCCAAGAGCTGCTTTATTCAAGGCAATGTTGCATTTTGGTATTGATCTGTTATGACTGAGAGAATGTGTGATGGTGCTGTTTTTTTATCTGCATGCCCTCCTACAAGAAATGTTTGTTCCTCTGGGGCGCTGCAGCTCCTGGTTAAAGTAAATATAGAAAAAATGAAGTATAAATCTGTCTGTCCATGCCACAGATGTATGGGTCTATATATCCACTCGTTTCCTCCTCATTTATGACACAAAAACACAAAGATATATGTTTGTGAGAGTTTATATTAACATTTATTTCTCAGGAGACTCAGCTGAGTGTATCCAGTACTCCATGGCGGTGTGTTTGACGTTGTGAGACAAAGAAAAACAAAAACAATATAAAAAGTGTCAGAATGTGTCAGAAGACCACACAAGTGTGTGTATTTGTCTGTCTTTTAAGAAGTCTTTTAGCAGACAATTTATTTTGGGTCATACATGTATGAAGTGACCTTAGAAACCCACCTCTAGTTATGGCAGCAGTGATTCCCCTGACTGAGTAAACACAATAAAAGCACAAGACCAACAGATCCCAGGAACAACATCTGAGATCTCTGTCCAGAAGAGCGCAGTCCTTGGAACAGCTAAGATACTGCGCAGGACCCTCAAGCTCCCAGGCCTCTGGTAAAAGACCCGAGCATGAAGGAAGGAATATAAGACCGCCCCAAAGTGGGGGGGCGAGTGGGGAATTAAATTTTTTTTATATAGATATATATATATTTCAAACATTCAGCCACAAAGAACCTCTGCTAAAGGTCTGAAACACTGGTGGCCACAGCAAAAAGCCTGTGTTCTTTTGAACAAAGTGGGACAAAGGACTCGCTCTGTTTTGGTAACATTAGCAAACTAGCATGATCACAGATTTTATCATTGTATTGAAAAATATGACTTTAATTTGGGTGCAATTCAAATTTTGTGAAAAATGAGTACTGTGCACAACAGTGTTGCTGTAGATCCAGGACTTGTTAAGGGAAACACACACCGGGGGCCTCGCATTGTGTCATGTGATGCAAGTAACACACACCTGGAGCCGCACAAATTCAGGGCAAAACTATTGAAGTAGTCGAGTATTTTATCATTATTTTGATGCACATCACCACCAAAAATTCAGTAAAGTATACATTTTGATGGCTTTTTCAGGGTAGGAGATACTCTTACTTGGAATTTCTGTAATTCTAAAACTGTGGCTATAGCCGTGTTCTGTTGATCATGTATTTTTTCTTCAGTGTATAAGAAGAGTTGGCTTTCTCTGCTCATATGAACTCCACTCTCTCCAGTGATAAGAAGAGTTGGCTTTCTCTGCTCATATGAACTCCACTCTCTCCAGTGATTTGCTTTTTGCTAAGCTGTCCCGGATCTTTTTCCCAGTTCATTCTAACCCTGAGAGTCAAGGGTGTGTGTTTGTTGGTGTTTGTAAGCGTTTGGCCGTTTACACTGTACCGATGCTAATCTATCCCAATGGCCAGAATTATCAGGCTGCTGGTTCCTTGCTGCTGTGCAGTCTAAGCTCTAACATCACCTGGTAGCTGCAATTTCCTCCTACAACCACCTGCCCGAAACACCACAAATCATATCAGCACAGCTCTCTAATGACAATAAAGCTGTCTGGGTGGGGAAAACATCACTATGCTCATGTCTACGCTCGAGCGCCTACACACACATATATGAACACTTGCGCATGTCCTGCGTCAGAGATGGAAACATTGTTTTTATGCTTTTTCTTAGCTACCTTACTGCTTGAGCATACACTTCCCTCGCATAGGAAAACAGACACTCCTTTCATGTAGGAAAGTACTGTACCTGTCTTTAGGCAAACGCTTTAGTTAATGTCTCCTACACTTAAGCAGTGCTTGGTAATACACTCATTTTCTATGTCCTGGAGTGCCACTGAGAGCGAAGCAGGAGTAAGGAGTGTATCCTGAGGTGATGCAGAAGACAATGGCACAAGCACATTTCATTGATAGGGACTGAAAAAATTAGCTACTTTTTTATTTGTTAATAATGTTCTAAAAAAAGGATCAGAGAGTAGGTGTATGACTCAGTGTGATTCTGTACCATCAGGTTGTACTGGGGGTATGTACAGGGAGAGTGGGGGACTGTTTGCACTGATCATCTGCAAGAGTAAAACTACTGTGCATATAATCCCCTGAAGTACCTCCCTTCTTCCTTGCTCTCTCTCTTTCTGCTCTTGGTGCACCCATGACTGTTGGAAATGATGCAGTAATACCAAAAAGAGAGAAGCGGGTGGGTGGGATAGTCAGAGTGAGAGACAGACGAGGAGCCAGACAGAAAGAAATAGAAAGAAACAGGCAGGGAGAAGGCAAAATTGTGGTATCTGGATCTCCCAGTTGCTGCCTCTGGCTCTTTTTTTTTTTTGGCTTTCCTTATAAACCGTTGAAATATTACAGTTAGGTCTTTGGGTGCATATTGCTGTCTTTTATGTGCAGTGGATGAGATTGCTTCTGAATGTATTATGATCCAGAAGTGGTTAAGTTTGTGTGTTATGAAAACGAATGTGTGTGTGTGGTGTGTCTGTGTGTGGGACAGAAGTATATTGCCTCCACAGACTAACCATGGCATCACTGCGAATATACTATGCAAAGAATGTGTATAAGTGTGGAGGCAGATAAATATTCGTACAAAAAGATTTCTTGACTGTTCATCCGAACAAGAGCAGAGTTCCACAGAGAGAGTGGCTGAGGGTGATTTCTTGCATCAGATAAATATCGCACAGTTCAGGGTAAATCGTGGCTCCTTTTCCAAACAGCACGGAATTTATGAACAAAATATACCTAAGCTCATTTGGTGGCATCATAGATACCATCAGTGATGAGTGACTCCCTGCACACACTGTATGTTTGCACATGTAAACATGTCAGCAATGAAATTATGATTTACCACCCTAAAATGTGCATTTGTTCATGTGTGCTGGTGAATATTGAGATTTATTGCACGGTGTGTGTGTGTGCATGGAAATAGTCTGTGTGTATATTTGAGTGCTCAGCCCCTGCTTGTTTCCATGTGTGTGTGTGGATGCCCCAGTGAGAATATAAAAAATGCCACTAACAGTTGTGTCTGCATATGGGCTAAGCCATGAGCACACTGGTCCTCCACTGCAGATTGATAGGAATGAAATATTCTGTAATCTAAATGTAAATGGAAGTGAAATTTACCGGTGGGTTCTATGTAATTACCAGTACCACAATTTATTAGAGTTGTGTTTGTGTAAGGTGGAAAGTGCGAAAGAGAGAATATGAGAGACAGGGAGAGAGGGATGAAGGGAAAAATAAAGAGAGCAAATGAAGAGTGTGGATAGGCTATCAGAATGACAGAGTAAGAGAAAGGATGATTTATATTTAGTTACGGCTTCATGGTCGAGCAGCGCAGGTGCAGGCTCGCTGCAAAGAGAGGAAACAGGAAACCTGAAACAGAACCTAGAAGAATAGGTGTAGAATAGCCTTAGTTCTGAATATGATTCTGTTCCGCATGAAGCAGAGAGGAGCAGAGGGTAAAA